CAGAAGCCCGAGCAGGGGGCTAGAGCCAGAGGAGGAGCGCGTGATGGAGGCACATGGCCACCAGGAATTGCTTTCTTCAAAGTATAAAGTGTTTTTGGGGGAAAAAAAAAGGGAAAAAAATCTATATTTTACAAGCGTGTACACCCCTGTGACCACTATCCAGCACCCCAGAAACTTCCCCTGTGCTCACTGCTAGCCTGTGTCTGCCCCTGCCCCGGCCCAGAGATCCCCACTGTTCTGATGCCCACCACCACAGTGACAGATTGGCCTGTTCTTGAACTTCACATAAATGCAATCATATAGCGTGTGCTCTTTCCCCGTTGGGTTAAGAATGAAGTTAGAGCTTGGACCCATGGTCCCCCACTGTCCCCACAGATCAGATTCTAGCTCTGGCCTGTCCCTCTGGGTTCATTTCAGATCCCTCTATGCATCCCTCTAGCCAAACCCACCTGCCCTGTGCCTGAATGGGCTTCACTTTCCTAAGTGCCTTTGAACATGATGTTCCCCCGACCTGGAACACGCTCTCTGCTCTCCTAGCATAGCTAGTTCCTGCTCAGCTCCAGCACCCCCTCCTCTAAGCCTCCCCTGACCTCTCAGGCCAGGTCTGCTGCAGCCTCTGTGCTAATTGCGGCTCCCTGTAACTAACCGAAGAACAGCAGGTGGGAGGGAAGACAAAGCCTTGACAGTGGCCTTGAGACTGAGGCTGCTCAGGTCTGGAGTTCCTGAGAAAGGTCTGCGCTGGAGACAGACAAAAGCCAAGGATGAGCGGTCAAGGTTGTCACAGAACAGGTAGAAGGCGGCACAACTGGGGACAGACCCCGGGGACCTCCAAAATTATAGGGCTGCGCGGAAGAACAGAACTCTACGGAGACGGAGAAGTAGGAGCTGGAGAGGGAGGGGGAGAAGCAGGAGTGGGGAAGAAAGATGGCGCCCAGTGAACCACTTCCAGCATTCATGCCCTGGTGCTGTCCTCTCCCCTTGAATCTGGGCTGGCCCTGTGACTTTTTTTTTTTTTTTTTAAGATTTTATTTATTTATTTGACAGAGAGAGAGAAAGAGAGCACAAGCAGGGGGAACGGCAGAGGGAGAGGGAGAAGCAGACTCCCCGCTGAGCAGGACCCCGGGATCATGACCTGAGCCGAAGGCAGACGCTTAACTGAGCCACCCAGGTGTCCCCCTGTGACTTGTCTTTGGCTAATGTGATAGAATGTGGTAGACGTGATACCACAACACCTCCAAGCCAAGCAGTCATAAGAAGTTTGTAGATTGCTCCTGGGTCTCTTGAAACTCTCTCTTAGGGAAGTCAACTACCATATAAGTCAGACTACAGACTGCCCTGAGGCCGCCATGCTGTGGGGAAGCCCAAGCTAGGCACATGAGGTGGCCATGTGGAGAAAGGGAGACAGCTGTCCAGTGCCCCCCTCCCCCCACCAGCTGTTACAGCCACCCAGCTGAGGCCGCAGACCTATGTGAAGAGGCCATCTTGGATGTCCAACCCAACGGAGCCTTCAGATGACTCCGGTGCAGCCACCACTTGACAGCAACTTGACAGCAAAAAAGACACCATGAGAACTGCCCAGTTGAGCCCAGGCCATCCACAGGACCATGAGTGATCATAAAAAAGCTTGTTCTAAGCCATGAGGTTTGTGGTAATTGGTTAAACCACAATAGATCATTGAAACAGTTGGTAATTTAGTACCTGAACAGCCCTCTGGGTTAGACATTATTGTCCCCATTTAACAGATGGGGAAATAAAGCCCGGAGAGGGATGTGACTCAGTGAGGTTCATGTAGCCAGCTGGAGGCAGCAGTTGGGGTTCGAACCCGGGCGGGTTTTTCTGGTACCTCAGCCTCTGCTCTTTCCACAGCACATGCCTGGCTTCCTGAGAGCACACCCTGCAGCCCAGCACATGGTTTGGCCCAAATGCCCTGTGTGACAGGTCACTGGGTTTTCCCCAGGGCAGCCCACCTGGGCACCTGCTGGAACCCCAGCTTTTCCAGCACAGACATGATTCACACACAGCCAAATGCAGATTGTACAGTGTACAGCAGGGGACATTTTACAAGCGTGTACACCCCTGTGACCACTATCCAGCACCCCAGAAACTTCCCCTGTGCTCACTGCTAGCCCGTGTCTGCCCCTGCCCCGGCCCAGAGGTCCCCACTGTTCTGATGCCCACCACCACAGTGACAGATTGGCCTGTTCTTGAACTTCACATAAATGCAATCATATAGCGTGTGCTCTTGTGTGTCTGACTTCTTTTACTCAACATTATCTGGAGGATTTATCCGTGTTTTTTGTGTGGGGCAGTCGTTCTTTCCTATTACCGTGTAGTATGCTGAGGTGTGACTATCCCACAATCTACTCATTCGTTCGGACGTTTGCAGCCCCCCACCCCCACTCAAGACGTCCCCCCCGCATCTGACTAACTGGAACTGCCTCCCAGGCCCAGTCCTAAACCCATCACTGGCCAGGGAAGGGGTACATTTTCCCCACAAGCCTACAAAGTTGCTCCCCTGCGGGCCTTTCCCTGAACACACTGGGGATGTTTATAGGGCATTTGCTCATGCTACTCCCTCACTTGAAATGCCCTTCCTGATTTTTCTATCTGGAAAAGACCTATTTCAAAGTCACCTCCAAAGGCCCTCTTCTACCCGCAGGCTGGATGGGGTCTCCTCTGGGTGCCTCCGGCCTCTGGGACCCCACAGCATCTGGGACCCCACCTGTTTTCGTGGCCTCGGTGGGGGCAGGGCCAGTCAGTCCTTGATCAGCTCCCCCAGTACCCGGGCTGGACTGATGGGAAAGGCTGTGGCGGGCAAGGCTGGCTCACTCTGTCACCCCATCTTGGACACAGCCCTGCAGATTGGACCGCCCGCGCTGGGCTTGCAGTCGCTCATGACCAGGACCAGGGTTCAGCAGCAGCACAACCGGCCAGTTGGGGGATGAAGCCTCCAGCCTGGTGGGCCTAGGGTGGCCACGTCCACCAGGGCTGGACGTGACCTGTGAGCACAGCCTCAATATAGGACTGGGGCCAAAAGGCACCCATTTGACGGGGAAGCAAATGAAGGCTTAGAAAGGGGTCGTGGCTTGTCCAAGGTCATCAGGGGCAGAGCCTCAGCTCCTGTCCTTTCTCCAAGGCCTGGGCTTAGGGCCCACTCCAGGCCTTCTCAGACTTGGAGACGACATGAATCACTGGGGGGTCTGGACTCGTACTTCTAACCAGCTCCCTGGTGACCCTGCTGCGGCTGCTGGTCGGCAAACCCCACATGGTGCTGCAAAGCTGTCGCCGGCTGGACTAGATTCTCGCCTCCCTTTCCCTTCAGGAAGGGTGCAGTGCTGGGGGGGGCATGGGTGATGAGGCCCCAACCTCCATAACGCGCCCTGCCCCCGCCATCCTGGACACCAGAGCTGCGGGAACATTTTATTAAGTTAAGAAGGCTCATGGAGCAGGAGAGAAGCCTTCATGGGGCGGCTCCAGCGTTTCCATGTCCAGCACCCCCTCGGAGGAGGAGGAGGTGAGGCCTTAGGGACAGCTGCCGGCTCCCTCTGCCCGTCCGTCCCTCTGTCCAGAGTCCCAAGGTGTGGGTCGCCTCAGGGCAGGAAGTAGGTAGTGGGAGGTAGGGAAGGAAGAGAGTGGCTGGCTCCCCGCCTCTCCCACCGGGGTCCGCTCTGCGCCGGCCGCTGCTGGGCCTCCGCTAGACCCCTGGGGCAGGGCCACGGGCCCAGAAGCCCGAGCAGGGGGCTAGAGCCAGAGGAGGAGCGCGTGATGGAGGCACATGGCCACCAGGAATTGCTTTCTTCAAAGTATAAAGTGTTTTGGGGGGAAAAAAAAAGGGAAAAAAATCTATATAAAAATCTCTTCACATATAAAATCCTGAAGAAGGTGCAAGGTAAGACCCAGTGCGAGGGGCGCGCTCAGATACGCAGAGTGTGTGTGTGTGTGCGTGTGTGTGCGTGTGTGTCTGTGTGTGGTGGGTGTGAGTGCACGTGCGGCCCACAGAGGGTGGGGAGAAAGCTTGGCTTCTGACTTCCATCCAGCAGGAAGGAGGGCGACTGACTGGCCCCCTCAGGCCGGGGGATGGTCTGCCGCGGGGCTGGGCCACCAGGACCTGGAAGACAAGAGTCGGGGAGCTGCGCGCTTAGGCCAGGCAAGGGTGGCCCGGAAGGCTGGGCCAGACCTGTGCCTGCTCCTCTGGGCTTCTCCCCACATAGCCTGGCCCCCAGGGTGGCCTCTCCTGACTGCCTCAGGCAGTCCCCAAGGATCGGTCTGAACGAAGCAGCCCCCGGCGGATGGGGCATTAGGAGAGGCAGCATCGGAACGCTCTGAAGCCTGGGGAATCAAAGACGGCCGTGAGACTAAGTCAGGGGGCGAGCTCCATCCGGGATGGCAGAGGCGTGGAACTCGGGGGAAGGAATGCTGTCACTGATCAGTGACCTGCGCCATGCCTCCAGCTCGAAGGTGGGGCAGGCACACCAGACTTGCAGGGGCACTGGGGGTCCTGACGAGGGGTGTGGGTTCATCAGGCTGCGGGTGGGGTGCGGCGTTAAGTGCCTGCTGTCACGGGGGGGCACATGGCAATAATCGGGCCCTGAACTGCGCCTTCCCACCTCTGAAGACACACGCTCAGGTTTACAAAGCAGCCTCTGGCTGAGCCTGACCCACCGACAGCCCCCCATCCCCCATGTGGCTAGTGTCACTGTCCCCGTTTACAGAAAGGGAAACAGAAGCCATGAGAAGGGAGCGACCCGGGTGAGGTGGCACCATGGGTCGGGTGTGGGCGAGCCTTGAGCTCACCTCTCCAGGCCCAGTGCCCACCAGGCCTCACCCCTGCACGGCCCTGCCCACCCCTTGGCACTCACCTCTACTCGGCCAGGCTGTTGCGCATGGATTCCTTCTCCTGCAGGGCAGCCATGGCGAGGCGCAGGTGCTCCTTCAGCTGCTCGATCTCCCGCTCCGACCGGGTCTTGATGTGGTTCAGCTCCACATACACATCCTGGTACTTCCCCGAGGTGAAGCGCTTGTCCTGGGAGGGCGCAGAAGAGCCGTGAGGGCATGGAGCCCCCCCCTTCCTGGCCTTGCCTACCCGGCCCATGCCCACCATGCTCCCTGCCGGCCGGCACAAAGCCGCCAAGTCCCTCCATGGCCTGGTGGCCTGTCCTTCCCGGTGGCCCCTCGGCATCCCCGGGCCTGGGCGCACCCTCCCAGCATGGCCCAGTGACGGCTTCCAGCATCGTTTTCATCCCTTGAGACGGGAGCTGAGGCCCAGGCAGGGGAAGCTTTTGTCTAAGACCACTTGGCAGTGAGTGGCCAGAGCACGAACCAGGTCAGCCTGGCCCGGGGCTGGGGCTCCTTCTGTGAGTCTGACTCACATCTTCACGGAGCCACCAACACATGCGGGTGCCAAACACAGGGACATGGCACGAGGCAGGCCACAGACTCACAACCCTGGGCCCAAATCCTGGCCCTCCCCGCTGCCGGCCACACGGCTCACTCCTCACTGGAACGCGGGCGCCCCTTCATGGGGCCTCGGGCCTTTGTCGCTCACAGCTGTCTCCCCAGCACCAAGCACAGGGCCTGGCGCACAGCAGGTGCTCAATAAGTATTTACTGACTAAATAAAGCAAGCGTAGCTGTGGGCAAGTCACTCACCCTCTCTCAGCCTCAGTGTCTTTGTCTGTAAATAGGGACAAGGACACCTACGAGGGAGAGATGCGAGTAGAGCCATGAATGAGGAGGTGAGGGGGCGGCTGGCACAGCGTGGGTGCTCATGGGAGGGGGCACCGAGGCGCGTCCAGAGGCTCCCTGCCCACAAGCTCCGAGTCAGGCCCTACCTTCTGTAGCATCTGCAGCTCATCCCGGAGACACTGCACCTCCTTCTTCAGGTACTGGAGCTCATTCTCCTTCACTCGAAGCAACACCTAGGGTCACGGGTGCCGGGCTGACCCAGGGCCACAGCGCCCTGCAGGCTGGCTTCTCTCTGCTTCAGGCCCCTAGACTGGAACTCCCAACCTGCACCAAGACCCACCACAGCCCAGGGCCAGGCTCCTCCAGGAAACCCTGATTTCTTCTTGCTCTCTCACCTCTGTCCACACAGTGAGTGGGTGTCTCATGATCACCTCTGCCGTTGTCCCCACACAGCACCCGGCCCTCAACTTGAGGGCAAGGAGGATGACCTCCAGGGAGCCGGAGAGGGCGGGCCTCCCTACGAAATACCTCATTAACCCGTCCCCAAAGTCTGAGCAGCACGGCTTGCTAGTCTGACTTGACCAAATCAGAGACAGGTTCGGCCAGGACTGGGGAGGCTTAAAAGCTTCGACTCTGGAGCCAGACTGCCAGGTTCAAACCCCAACACCTGCACTGACCAGCCGTGAGACCTCGGGCAAGGTACCTGACCTCCCTGCATCTGTGTTCTCATCTGTAAACAGGGACAGTAAACAATATCTACCTCGTAAGATTGTCACGAAGATTCAATGAGTTAACTTACAGGCATTCCAGACAGAGAGTAAAGCCACATACAAATTTTCATAAATTAAAATCAAGTAAAATAAAATAAAATAAATAAAATATAAAATAAAACACTAGGGGATCTGGGGATCACACACGTTTTCTCACTCCAACTTTCCCCAGTAAGGGGGATGCTAGCCTCCTTTTACAGAGGAGCTCCTGGGGCTCAGAATGGTGGGGTGACTTGCCCTGGTCACCCAGCAGCTAGGTGGTAGGCCCCTGACGGGAGGGCTGGACTCTGGCGGTAGGGCTTTGTCCCAGGTGCCCATCCCAGCTGCGCTGGCTTCTCCCCCCCTGGGGCCCAGCCCCGCGGAGCCATACCATTCCCTGGGCAGGGCACACCGAGCCCGTCGGGGTGCGGAGAAGCAGCCAGGCTGCCTGGCACCGGGGAGTGGGGGGGGGGCGGGGGGCGCTCACCTCCAGCTCACAGGAGCTCCGCTCGCTGCCGCGCCCACAGCCGTCTCCCGTGCCCTGCGAGGCAATGAAGCCACGCAGCCGGTCGATCTCCTCTGACAGGCGGGCGTGCAGCTCCTGGGAGGCCCGGGACGGTCAGCGCGGGGACGACGGACCGCTGCGCCCAGGGCCCCCGCCCCCACCCGGGCCGGGCTCACCTGGTTGTGGCGCAGCAGCTCCTGGCCCTCCTGCTGGCAGCGCCGCAGCGTGTGTTCCCGCTCCTCCGCCTGCCGCGTCAGGGCCCCGATCTCCAGGCACTTTTGCGAGTATTGCTCCGACAGCACCTGCAGCTCCCGCTTCAGCGCCGCCACGTCTGACCTATCCGGGGCAGGGGCGTTGCAGGGATGGCTGGGGGTGGGGTGGGGCTCAGCTCGGGGGAGGCTCAAAGCAGCTCAGGACTCCAGGTTCCTGCTCTGGTTCTGCCTTCAGCCCACTGGGGGGCTGTGAACTGGTGACAGCCTCTTTGGGCTGCGCGTGCCGCCTCGATGAGGTGGGGGTTAAGCCTCCAAGGCCTCTAGAGCCCAACAATCCGGAACTGTCCTCTGCGGTGGGGAGGGACACCTACTGGCCAAGGGTGGTACTGCAGCCCAGCTCTAGGGGCCACGAACCAGGGGAGGCCGCGGAGGCAGAGACCAGCTGGACAAGAAGGGGCCTAAAGGACTATCTATGTGGACTGGCATGGGGGTCTGGCCGAGGGCCCCCTGCCTCTGTCCCCTGTGCCCGGTGACTGGGTCGGGAGTCTCAGCCGGTGGCAAAGTGTTGCATCCTCTGCCAAGGGACCTCAGCACAGGTTCCTGCCTCATGAACACCAGGGTGGGCAGCCGCTCACTCAGAACGAGGCCCAGCCAACAGGCCCCAGGGTCCGGGTGCAATCTTACTGGTGCTGCTTGCGAAGGCCATCGGGGCCCTGTGGGAGACTCCGTGTCTTGCTCAGTTCCCGGCTCAGCTCCTCCTGGTAGGCCTTCTTCATGGCTTCAATGGCTAGAAGCAGGGCAGAGGCATGAGGGGAGCTTGCGGAGGGGTCAGCAGCAGTAGGCTCCACCTCCCCCAAGACCCCACATGTACCACTCAGACAGAAGCTAAGAGCACCGGACCAGGCTGTCTCAGGAACTGAGTTGCTTTAGGGAAGTTGCTCGACCTCTCTGAGCCTATTAAGGGAGGATACCAATCCCTGTCTGCTGGGGTGGGACAGTGCTGGGCAGACACTTCAGTATCTGACCTGTGACGTCCAGGTGGGACCCCACACAGTCCACCACCCCTGCAGAGCCTGGAGGGTTCTTTCACAAGGCCAAGCTCCCTGGCCCAGCCCGCTGATTGTACCCAGTGCAGGGACTGCAGCTGGTACCAATCTGTGCAACTTTTCACAGGGGACTTAACCCCTCTGTGCCTCGGGTCCCTTGTTGGAAAGCGGGGAGAACAACAGCACCTTCTCTTGTGCGTTATTGGAAGACGTGCGTAGAGCATTTAGAGCAATGCCTGGCCCAGAGTAGATGTGCAGAGAGCTCCCGCTGGCTTATTTTCCAGACTGTGAGCAACCAAGGACCAAGTGTTTTCACACTCACACAGGGTGGTTGGGAGGATTAAACAAGCCGTCATCCATAATCTTATCCATAATTCTGAAATCCAAAGGCTCAGAACACTGGAAGTTTTTCATAACTCTTTCGGTGGCAATCCCTGACCTGAACAGATGCAAGGCTATCTGCGGTCAGTTGTAGCCCACTTGAGTGTAACTCCGAGAAGTTTCACCGTGAAAATCTTAGCGCTAGATTTCAGGGAAGAGCCCAGACTCTGCTGGGAAGGATATCTAATAGGTGTACTAGGTTATCTTCCTAAAATGCAGAACACACCGGCTCCAGGGTTTGGGATGAGGGGCCGTAGGCTTGCGTGCATGAAGCATGTGACACAGCACTGGCAGGTGGTAAGTTCTAGATCAAGTGACTTCTATCATTACTATGATTCTGCAAACCCCATGGGAGTGCCTAGGATGTGCCAGGCCCACACGGGAGGTGTGCAGGGAACACAGGGAGGGAGGGAGATGTCGAACATCTCGGGCGTTCCTGTTTCTGACTTGGGAGAGCAGAGGGTGGGGTTCAGGGACCGGCTCTGCAGTCAGGATGCTCTGAGCTCCAACTCCGGCTCTGCCATCTCCAAGCTGTGCCATATGGGACAAGTCACTAACCTCTCTGAGCCCCAGTTCCTCATCTGTGAAATGGGGTCCCTCCATCGGGCACTGCAAAGAGCTAAGGGTGCTTGCGTGGGGAATGGGGCTTAGCAATAGCTCACAACTTTGCTCCGGCCCTCCCCAGGGTCTGGCCCTTCCCCCCGCAACCCCCGGTCCGCAGCTGAGCAGTCTCTACCCCAGCAAATGGCACACACGTGGTCATGGAGTTGGAGCTCAGTGCGTGCGTGCGTGCGCCTTGGGGTGAGATCCCCAGTGGCTGCAGGCCCCTGAGGGAGAGTCACAACCCAGGAGGACATGGGGGTGGGGGGGGGCTTTTATTGCCTCGGTTTCCCCTTATCATGTAGGAACAGAGGCCAGTTCTGGGGGCTCCACCCCTTCCTAGACCCCTTTCCCAAGTTTGGCACAGAGACCCCCCCCTTATTTAAAGTCCTCCCCGATTTCAGCGAGCAGCTGCAGCCTGGGGTCCTCACCTGAGGCCGTGGCCGCCGTCTCTTCGGCCAGGAGCCACTCCTTCTCCTGCTGCAGCCGCTGCAGCTCACGCTCGTGGTGCCTCTGCAGCCCCTCCATTACCTGCTGGTGTGAGGACTCCATCTCGGCCAGGCTGCGCTCGCACGCTTCCTGCGGGCGGGAAGCCAGCTTCGTCCCGGGGCCGCCCCCGCTGCCCGGACGGTGGCCCTTCTCCAGCCCCAGGTGGTGAGCCTCAGGGGCAGGCCCGCCCTGGGCCGGCCATCTCCACCTCTCCTCCCTGGGGCCCCATACCACCGACTACACCTGCCCCTGCTCCCCCAGTCCACAGACCTCACCCTATCACTCTCCTCCTCCCAACCCTTCAGAGGCTCCTATCCAGTGGGGTCAAGTCCCTGCTCCTGTGTCTGACCCTCGTGGCCTCGGGCTGAGCCTTTCCCCACCAAGGAACTCCAGTTAGGAGAAATAATTCATAGCATGGTCACAGCTCTGAGCTGTAGCTAAGGCTAAGCCCTCTGCCTGGAACGTTCTTCTGCAACTCTCTTCCAGGGTAACGGACTTGGCCTGCAGTCCAGCTTAATGTCCTCCCCGCTCTATCTCTGGGCAGCCTCTCCCCTGCCTCCGAAGGCTCTGGCTCTGCCAGACTGTAAGTTCTCCAAAGACAGGGAAGAACTGATCCAGCTCAGAGCCCCCCAGGGTCCAGACCAGAGCCTAACACGTGTCAGGTGCTGAGAAAGTGAGCTGAAATTGCTGACATCACAAAATAGGGCCTGTAGGCAAGACTGGCAAGTGCTTCAAAGACTGATAATACTCGTGCTTGGGAGAGTCAGCTGCGACAGATGCATTGGGGGGGGGCACCTGGGTATTGTCATCACATTTTTAGTAACTCCCCGTTGACCCCACAGAAAGTCACATGTGTACAAAGACTCTGGGACAGGGGTATTCCCTACAGTAAGGTTGGTAAGACATGAAAACCAGAAACAACACCTAACAGGGGAGCCCTTAAATGATGGGATCAAGCCTTACAAAGGCTCCCAGGCAGCTGGTGAAGAACAGAGCTGCCCACGTGGACTGCCTTGGAAAGGTGTCCTGAAAAGTCAGGTGATGCAAGCTGGTCTCTGACAACATGTATGGTGCGATCCCACTCACGGAAACAACACAGAGCCACGCATCCGAGTCCACGCATGTCAAACACAGCAAAGGGCATGGGAAGATGCCATGGGGGGCAGAGTAGGGGCACCCAGAGATGCCTACATCGTACTCCCTAGAACCTCTGAATATGTTACCTCATGTGGCAGCGGGGCATTGAGGTTGCTAATCAGCTGACCCTAAAATAGGGAGACTACCCTGAATTATCCCCTGGGCCCAATGGAGTCACAGGGTCCTCAGATGCGGAAGCAGAGGCAGGAGGGCAGAGAGGGAGAAGTGGCCACAGAAGGTCAGTGATAGGGGCGCCTGGGTGGTTCAGTCGTTAAGCGTCTGCCTTCAGCTCAGGTCATGATCGCAGGGTCCTGGGATCGAGCCCCGCATCGGGCTCCCTGCTCCGCAGGAAGCCTGCTTCTCCCTCTCCCGCTCCCCCTACTGTGTTCCCTCTCTTGTTGTGTCTCTCTCTGTCAAATAAATAAATAAAATCTTTAAAAAAAAAAAAAAAAAGGTCAGTGATAATTCACTGTGGGAAGCGAAGGGGCCAGACTTTCTTTCCACTGCAGGCTTTGCAGACAAAGGATGGGGCCAGGAGCCCAGGAATGCAGGTGGCCACAAGCCGCTGGAGAAGGTGAGGAGACAGGTCCCACCCGGAGCCCATGGAAAGGATTTGAGCCCAGCGAGACCCCAGTTAAGCTGCTCCCCTTCAAATCCAGGACCTGATACACCCATGTTATCTAAGGTTGTGGTGATTTGTTCCAACAGCAACAGGAAACTCTAGGGATGTGCTCCAAGGGTGACCAAGGTGACGCCTGGGGCGGGGAGAGCAGGCAGGGGAAGGAGCGCTCATGTGTTTATTTCTAACCTTTTGATTAGACTGAATTATTTTTGAAAATGTAAATATATTTTTTATGTAATTAAATTTAAGATCATGAAAAAAGAAAAGGAAAGAGCCCTGGAGGAAATCGAAGCTGAGGGCCCAGATAAGAGTATATCCCCCATGCCACTGGGCACCTCATGGTGTGTGTGTGTGGGGGGGGGGACTGACCCCCACCTCTCCAGCAGCTGCACCAGGGGGCTACAAGGACCAGTCTGGGGGAAGGGCCAGGTGTTTTGAGTCCCAGGTCCAGGTGTTCTGAGTGGGGGGCAGGTAATGTCTGTCCCTCTGCATCTGTCCTCTGTGTCCCTCCAGTCAGAACAATAGAACATGGCTTTGGAATTCCACACACCGGGTCCTAATCCTCGCTGTACCAGAGTGAACTTGAACAAGCCTCTTCCCCACTCTGAGCCTCAGTGCCCTCTTCTATAAAGCGGGCCCTTAAGACCAACTCATGAGGGTCTCTAAGATAAGCCCACCTATAGAGAGGGGAGCAACATAGGGGGTGGGGACTGCTGTCCTTACAGGGCCAGATGAGGTAGGCAGAGCTGGCAGCTAATAGGGGGTCCAGAGGCAGGAACCAGCCCATGAGGAAGGAGCAGCTCCTAAAAGGCCAAGTGCTGCTTTCTCTATCTTCAGGAGGGCCCAAGGTGTCCAGTAGCCACCTCTGACATGGATCAAAGCAGATCAAGAAATGCCTGTTACTCCCTCTGCAATAAGCTGGGGGGAGGCCAGAGGAGGCAATGGTGGCCCCCGGCAGGTGAAGCCCCAGACTCCCCAGCTGCTGTCCTATGTGGCAAGCCCCACAAGCTGAAAGAGGGGCTCCCTGCCGGACTAAGATACCAGGAATCCCTCCCCAGCTGTCACCTCTCTAGGGTCCGCTGACTCCCCAGCCACGTCCTCCTGGGCCAGAGGGGGACACAGATGGCTCAGCTCCTCTTCTCTGGCTCCCACCACCTCTGCAGCCCCTCCTCCACCCCGGTCTTCGGCTCTGTTTCCTTATCATTCCCTTCTCACCTCCCCCCGCCCAATTCCATTTGCACCCCAGCCCATCCCGACCTAACAGGATGAAACGCCAACAGCCCTTTGTGTGCCCAGTGGCCTCATGGGGACCAGGAAACCTGACTGCAGACACAGGTCTGCCTCTAGATCGAAGGTCTCACCTCCTCTCTATGCCTCAGTTTCCCCACCTGTAAGCTGAGCAATCACAGCAGTGCTTTCAAACTTCATTTTAGCGAAATCTAATGTAGGTTCTAACAGTAAAACAGACAGATGAGGCTGCTCCGATACCAGATACCCATGGCTGTGAATGGAACCACCCACCCAGAAAGGCAGCCCCTGGGGCATCCAAGGGCTGAGTACACTTTGAAGCCCTCTGGTGGGGGTCTCTGAAGGGTGTCCCAGCTGCCTCAGGCCCTGCTGTGGGGCCTCACCCAGACTGAAGACGCCCCACCCACTCCTTCCTCTGGCCTCAAGGGAGCCTTTGACAACACTGGTCCCTCCCCGCTCCCCTCTCCATGTCAGGTGACCCCAAAGCTAGCCCCCCTCCCCCACCCAGATCCCAACTCCCCCTGGCCCTGGTCTCCCTTCAGCTGACTGCTCCACCCACCACTCAGCCCCATGGGGCTCCCTGGCCTTGCACAGCGGACCAGCCTCAGGGCCCCTGGGGGCCCCCCTGTCCTCCTTGGGCCCTGTCACCCAGTCCTCATCTCTCCTCCCTGCACACACCCCCCTGCAGCCCTCACGCCTCCAGCCCGTCCTAGGTCCTGACACCGCCCTTGCCCCCTCCCAAGCCCCCCTGCATCCCAACACCACTTTCCTGATGTCACTGTCAGACCCCAAATCCCCTCAGGTCTGGGGAATGAGACCCCAACTCCTTGGCTTGCTGGAGGTCTCCACTGTAGACACCTACTGGCCCTCCACCTCCTGCCCCAGCCCGTGCCCCCACCCCAAAACTGGTGCGTTCCTGGGCGCCCCACACAGCCACCTCCAACCCTGGAGCTTCTTCTAGAAGGCTCCTGTGCCCAGAACCTAGGATCCCAGCAGTCTCTTCTACTTCAGGCAACGGCGTGCTGACTGGAGGCAGCTGATGGTCATATTTTTCACAATTTTGTGAGACGGTTGTTAAGCGCAGCCATTTAAAAAGTTAAATTATATAAACTTACAATTAACTACAGTGAAAACAAAGGTGATACTCAAAATTTTCATCACTTCCTAGTTATTTCACTGCATTTTATTATTGTCTATGCTTGAGGGTTTTCTCGGTTTTTTTTTAAAGATTGTAAGTATTCTCTACACCCAATGTGGGGCTGGAACTCACGACCCCGAGATCAAAAGTCGTGCGCTCCACCAACTGAGCCAGCCGGGCGCCCCTATGCTCTTGAGTTTATTTACGTCTTCTGTACCTTGTCTGGTGGAAACGCTCTATAATTCTGTGCAGCACATACATCTTCCCAATTCGGTGTTCAGGGACATCAGCCACAGTGGGAGTGTTTACACCATGGAAATTGGTAAACATTACAGATCAGGGCTTGATTTATTGTTTTGTTGATTGTCTGGACTTAAGCAAGGGATAAGAAAATGCTAATAATGCAGATTAAACTTCCAAGTCTGCCAAATTTATGACCATCACACTGTAACTAGAACACGGACCTGGAGAAAATCTTCTAAATAGAATATTCTCAAAAGAAAACTATTATCCAATTCGGCCAAGAAGTTACTCGTGACGTTGACCAAGTAAAGTTCTGACGAGTATCTTCTCGTTTTACTCATTAACATGAACAAAACTGTCAACCAACATTCATGTTAGAACAATCCTCGTCTGCCAGTTAGCTGAGGATACAAGCATTCGAAAAAACCAGTGAAAGTATTCTGAGAAAATTCAATTAGCTATATATGGAATTCACAAGAAAAGTGATAATTTCGTATTTGTACACTGTGTCCTAAACCTCCTTTATATCAGCAAAATTGATCAGTAATTATCAGTAAAATTAATCAGTAACATATGTTAGCCTGTATATGTGCTTAAAATACACACGTATTTTTCTGTCAAACTGTTTCCAGACATGGCCAAATGTCCCCAGAGGAACAAAATCAGCCCTAGCTGAGAACCACTGTCCCGGGCAGGCCCAGCGTCCCACATCCTGCAGGCCACCTGCTGCAGGGCCTTGGCCTGGCAGGCATGCGTGGGATTTCTCTGTGCTGAGGCAGTGACCCTGGGGGCCTACCCGTTGGGGGCCCCACTCCCCACTGGCTCTCCTTCCCCGGGTGGTGTGGGAGAAGGGGTCCAAGTACAGAGTGTCCCAGGGTGGGCTCACACACAGTCTCTGCAGTCAGCCGGAACCGAACTCAAATCCCACCTCTGACATCTGCAGCTCAGTTGACCTTGGGCAAGTCCTATAACCTCTCAGAGCTCAGTGGCTTATCTGTAAAATGGGCACAGTGACCGTGGCTACCTGCGGGGCACATTCGATGAGACGATGCAGGTCAAATGCCTCACACGGGTTCTGCGACACTCCCAGAACGTCAGGGGTTCTCTGAAACCTCGGCAACCAGAAGCCTGCCCGCAGCCCCCACCAAACAGCCCCTTGGCCTCACCTGCGAGATGTAGCCTGGGGGGACGTGGCTGTCCTCCTGGGACCTGGGTGCACGCTGAGGAGCCTCTCCCTGAAGACGCCATGCCTCCAGCTGAGCACGAAGAGACTGGACCTACAAGGGGATGGGGGGGGGTCAGTGGGAACCTGGAAGCCGGGAAGGGGGTGCTGGGAGGCAGTGAGGAGCTTTGGGTTTGAGCAGGGGAAGCAGCCTGTGGTGGAAATGCAGGCAAAGGGGACATTCCAGCTATTTCCTGGATGGCCAGGTCAGTGACCCAGGAGAACTTTGTCCCAGGGAAGACTAAACAGGTTTGGGAGCAGGACACCGTGGTCACAGACACTGATTACATTACATAGTAGGTGGTCTCTGAGCCTCAGTTTCCTGTCAGTACAACTGTGACGAGGTCTACCTCTGGACCATGAGACTGCTCAGAGGATTACGTGAGCCAATACAGGGAAACAAGGCCTAGGATGAGGTATACAGAAGATGCTGAGTAAGTGGTCTCTCCCGGGGCGCCTGGGTGGCTCAGTCGTTAAGCGTCTGCCTTCGGCTCGGGTCATGATCCCAGGTCCTGGGATCGAGCCCCACATCGGGCTCCCTGCTCGGCGGGGAGCCTGCTTCTCCCTCTCCCACTCCCCCTGCTTGTGTTCCCTCTCTCGCTGTGTCTCTCTCTGTCAAATAAATAAATAAAATCTTAAAAAAAAAAAAAAAGTGGTCTCTCCCTCCTCCTCCTCCCTTCTATGTGGTTGCTGAGGACAAAACTGAGAAGGAAAAAAAATGCCCCAAAACAAGAAACACCAAGGTCCAGGAAAGAAGATTCCAGTTCCTAAGAGTCTGAGGTACCAGACAGTGAATCAGGGGTGAGCTCCCCGTCCCTGTAGGTGTGCCAGATGAATGCCGCAGTGACTGCAGGCACAGGAGGGCCACCGGCCGGGGCGGGGGGGGGAGGCTCCCGGAGGCCAGCGGTGATGCCTACCTCCTTCTCCAGGGCCTCGTGGCTATCACCCGGAGGCCCCCGGCGCTCCCCGCGGCTTTGGTTGAGCAGGGCGGTGAGAGGCACCCGCTTGTTCTCCCGCAGGGGCAGCTTCTCCAGCTCCTGCCACTTCTTCTCAATCTCCTCACTGAGCCGGCCCTGCTGGTCCTCCGTCAGGGGGGCACCCAGGCCCCGGCGCGGCCCCTCACCAGCCGCGGTCTCCAGGGGCCGGCTGTCCGTGGCCTCAAACCACCTGCGTCGCTCCTCGGAGCGCTGGGCCAGGTCCCGCTCGAGCTCCTCCTGCTTGGCCGGGCGGTCGAGGGTGCGGGCCGGGCCGCGGACCCGCTGCGGGGAGCCCTGCGTCAGCGGGGAGAGCTCCACGTAGTCCAGGGATGGCCGCTGCCCATCCGCCTTCCTCGGGCTGCCCCGACCGATGACCTCAGAGCCCCCCCGCTGCTCCCCGGCCTTCAGGGAGCCCTTCTGGGTGCTGCAGCCGTGCAGCGTGTTCTCCTTGTTGCAGTCCGAGAGCCTAGGGTGCCAGCAGAGCCTCGTCAGGCGGGAGGGAGTGAAGAGTCAAGCACTGCTGGAGCGCCACCCCTGGGCCGGGGCCCGGGGACAGACCCCCATCTCGAGGTTAGGACTAGAGCTTCATCATTAACAGACCCTGAGAAGCATCCCAGGGCCCACGCTTAGCAGCAGAGGCACCAGGAGAGCTGCGTTCCTGCTCTGGCCCCCAGGGACCTCATCTGTGACATGGGCCAACAATGCCTCTCGCAGGATGGATGCGAGGACCAGGTGAGTGAAAGTGTGCAAAGCAAACAGAGCCCTTGGCCAATGGTGATCAAAGCGTTATTCCCAGCAGGGTGGTTTAAGACAAGGTCCGGGGTTCAAGGGGCTCACGGCGGGAGAGGGAAGATGAGGTGACCAGTGACCTCTGGGTGCACAGAATGCCAACTGTGGCAGTCCTCCCCTTCCTCCATTAGTAATAGCTGCGTACATCGTTGGCCGGCCAAAAATGACACCCCCCCCCCCCAAGCATCCCTTGCAGCTGTGTGGCCATGTGACTGCATTCCTCCACCCAGGGGTGTGAGAGGTGGTTCCCTTTAAAGGACTGGGCATGCCCTGGCCTGGCTGCTGGCAGGAACTCCACGAGAACTGAGCCAGACACAAAGGTGTGAGTTGTGGGCCGCAGAGCTGCCCCGCCAGGTCTGGATCACACACCTCTGGATTGTTCTGGAAAGGGAAAGCAAGCTCTCCCTTATTTATGCCACTGTGTTTGGGGCTTCTTTGTTAGAGCAGCTGAGCCTATAGACTAACTGGAAGCCCTGCTGCAGAGTGCTCCGGAGTCCACAGAGTGCTTCCACGCACATAACCTCCCACGAAGCAGACGTCACACTCGGCATGACAGATGAGGAATCTGACACTCAGACAAGAAAGTCACTGGCCTGAGGTTGAACAGCCGAGGTACGGCCAAGTAGGGGGGGCTTATGCTTGGGCCCCCCAGTACCACACGCCATTCCTGCTGTTCAGCAGCTGCGATTCCCAGCCCCCCCCCCCGTGGGCGGTGAGGGTTTAGACTGTTGGGGGGCTCTGCCAGCAACTCACTCAGTCCTCCACCCCTCCACGCATGGCGACCTCCAGCGGGGTGAGCTCCTCATCCAGACTACCTAACCACACCCTCTCCCCAACTCAGGCTCAGACACAGCTCCCACGGCTCGGAGATAATCAGCCACTAGCGGGGGCCTCTGACTCACTGGCATCTTCTCCGAAGAGTCAAGATCCCTCCCTCCCTTTCAGATGTGGGGGACTATAAAGGAATGGCAGTCAAACCACAGATCCTCAAAGTATTTTCGCGTGAGTGCCAAGAATGCTCCTTGCCCTCTCTCCATTTTGTTGATGGAGAAACCGAGGCCCCAGAGGTACAGCCACAGGGCCCTGAGCTGGGTGCCAGAACCCCACTCAGGGATGCAGGGGTAGGTGCCTCCCTCAAGGTCCCAGTCCAGCTTGGCACATACTTGGTGACATCCGGGGCAGAGGTGGGTCGCACGGTCTTCCTCAGAGCCTCGATCCAGTTTCGCCGGATACCCGAGGTCATGGCCGACAAGGTATAGATAGCATCCTTGGTCTGCAAGTCCACCCCACGGGCAGGTTGCCACATGGCCAGCTCTGCCCCCACCCTGCTCCCTCGCCACTGTGCACCCCAGGGAGGGTGGCCCTCTCCCCGCAAGTAGGAAACCTAAGGTCCTGCACCTAGGGATGAGCGGAGGGTGCCAAAGCTCCCTTCCACCAGCTGGCTCTGTGATCTCCCCAACATTCCACCCGCCCTCCCCCACCAATGATCTCTGAGGCCTCCCCAGATATGCCAAGTGTTGGCAGCAGAGCTTCTGACGGCTCTAAGGACAGGGTCTCCAGGTCAATGAGTGACAGGAGCCAGTCACGAAGCCCATCACCGGCCCCCCCACCCGGCCCTGATGCCACCCCAGCTGCACGGCGGCTCACATGGATCTGGAAGCCATAGTTTCGCTGTACCGCATACTCGGTGACGTCTGTACAGGAGCGCAGGTCAATCTCGCCATCCAGCTCGTCGGCCTGCCGCGGGAAAGCCCACGATGGTCCACGCCTTCCACTTCCCTGCTGGGCGCCCCCGGTCCCCTTCCAGGGCCCCCAGCACCTGATGGGGACAGGGAGTCTTCCCACTTGGTCTCACCTCCTCAGCGGTGGAGTCCCTGTAGTACTTAAGGCTTGAATCTGTCAGCACAAACCAATGCTTCTTCCACTGTGAAGAAGAGGTGGCAGTGAGCGAGGGGAGGGGGCCTGTGGGAAGCGGAGCGGAAGGGGGGTGTGGGCACCGTTCTGCAGCCGTCCTGGGTGCTGCCAGGTCAACAGTAGGGCCCCAGCACCCTCTTCCGCCCTGCTGGTGGCCCGTGGGGGCAGGGGACAGAGCAGAGGCAGAAACTCCAGATGTGAAGCCTGGCCCCTCCAGGGGCAGCATCTGTGAAATGGGTTGGCCTTTCCTCAGTGCCTACACCTTCCCTTTCCTTCTGGGAGCCCTTCTCTGATGTGTTGACAGTCCTGTAGCCCTCTTGACCCTCTCCATTGAGATCACCAAGGCTCCTACGAGAACCCGCTCCAGTGCAGACCAGGAAGGGGCTGTGACCTGTGTAACGTCATTTGCCTAGCAAGTCAGGGAACAGAACTTTGCACGTCTTTTCCCCCAGGCCCCTCTGGATCACCTCAGTAGCCAAGGACAAGGGACCCAGAGTGGAGTGGAAGGTGTCCTGGGGGAGGTGTCTGAGCACTGGTCCTATTGCTCCTTGAGCTAGGTGCTGGTTACACACGTGTTCAGCTTGTGAGGACGTTCTCTGCACATTTATGATTTGGGCCCCTTTCTGCAGTGCCTCTCTGCTCCAGCTGGGGTTAGCTCGGCAGGCCACAGAGGGGAGGGCAGGGGTGCCAGAACAGCTTGATATTAAATATGCCAAGCTCAGCCCACCTCTGGGCTTCTGGCCATTCACTGGAATGCCAGTTGAGGTCCACCCACTCCCAGGGTCAGCACATGCCACCCAGTCCTCAGCCGTCCTGGGGCTCCCCCAGATCACCAAACTCTATTCACTTTATTCTAAATACTTAGTTTTCTTCCCTCAAGAAGATGGCAAGTTTTCAAGGATGTGGTAGAATGACACTTGCGACTTCTTTCCACACGGCCTCCCCTAAGAAATAGGGCTTAGCATCCAAGAGACCTAGGTTATAATTGTTTTATCCCTTGCTAGCTGTGTGGTCTTCGATCGGGTATCTCGACCTCTCTGAGCTTCATTCTTCTGACTTGTCAAGTAGGGCTGATAAGAAGTCCCTAAGCCTTCTTGGGAGGTTAGAAGTATCTATCCCTCCCTTGTATGTTTCTTGTAGCACTTAGCATAGGGTCAAGCACTAGGTTACTGGGGATTGTCCTAAGAGTCGCCCGGGTTGCCACTCAGAACCTCAACTATCCCTCTACAAAGCAGGGCAGGGCTTCTGTGCCAAATGGTCTCTTTGGTCCTTGCAGCCTAATCTATGATGGCTGAGACAGGAGCCAGATAGAGTTCCATGGCCTTAGGCGGCCCAAGTTCTAGGCCTGGGTCTACCGAAGGGGATACTAGGCCCAGAGGAGATGGAAGCTCTGTGGGCCTGTCCCCTGTCTGTGTGTACCAAGGGGCTGGGCCGGCTGAACTCCCAAGGTGGACATTCCAAAACCCTGCGAAAGAAGATGAGTAGCGGCCAGTTCTGGGTGGGGTCCATCATCTCTGCCCTCCGGAGACCCTGGGTGGGGAGGCTGGGAAGGGTCACTGGCAGGGTTCCAGGCCTTGTGTGAGCCTGGAGCACAGCCACCAGAGGACCAGTGAGCAGGCAGCAGGAATGGAAGGCTGTGGGCTGGACGGAATAAAACATGTCGGTAGGAAACACAATGAGATTCCCTTTGGCTCTGAGCCCTCCCCGGCATGCGGGCTGCACGCAGACCCGAGCCACGGACACATGCAGGACAGGGGCAGGGAGCTGTCCCCTCCCAGGCTGAGCGGGCAGGAAGCCAGCTCCAGCTCCCAGACTCCAGCCAGCCTGGCAGCTGAATGGGCAGAGCCAGCGAGAGGCCACTGTCCCTCCTGGTTCTAAGGATGGACACATTAGAGAAGGGAAGGGTTATTAGCTGAGCTCTGGCAGGGACCCTACATGGCTCAGCCTCTCCGACCCTGTTGTCCGCCCTGGAAAGAATCGTCATGATCCATCATGCCCATTCCATAGATGTGGTTCCTGAGGCCGGAGGAAGCTGTGGCTCGACAGGTGGAGCCCCAGGCTGGTGAGACTTCAAAGTCGGTGTTCTGAGGCCCACTTCAGGGGGGCGGGAGAGGTTCCTGCATGCCTGAGTCTTTGGGAATCTGTAATGTCTCAGGCCAGCTGATCTCTCTGAGCCCTTCCACCCCAGACCCTCAGACCCAGCCAGCATCATCAAAAGGCAAGAAGGCCGAGGGGCTCTCAGTGACACGAGGGGATGGGGTGTAGGGCGTGAGGGGCTAGGAGGCCTCTACTCCTGCTGCCCTGTATGCCGGCAGACTGTTCCAGCAGCCTGAGATGACTGTAGCCTCTGCATTCCCACCCCCACAGCCCAAGGCCCACTGCGACTGCACAAGAAACACCCGCACTCAGGGTGCCCACTCTGGGCCCACCTGGGTCTCCTCCACTCAGAGGCCAGGCTCTCCAGAAGCCTAGACAAGCCGTGTTAGCAGCTCAGCCTGCTGGGCTGCCCCCAGGGACCTGCTGGGGTGCTGAAGCTGCCCAGACCAACCCGTCCCCTCTTGTTAGAGCCCTCCTACCTCTCCAGGCTCGTCCAAGATTGACATCCATCCCTTCTTGAAGTTGAGCAGATCGGGCTGTGGGAAGATGAGGAGGCAGGTGATTTAGGCCTGGTGGAGAGCCAACCAGGACTGCACCCATCCTGCCCCCAAGTCCTGTGAGACTGGGTTTCTGGGGAGCCAGGAGAGGGGGGCTGAGGGCCCAGGTAACCCCCAAATCAAGGCAGGCTCCCCAGCCACTGAGGCAGCCTTGGCCCCTTTCCCCAACAATCTCTGAGAGCCAAGAAGGTAGGCAGGGTGACTGGCACATCTACCTTGGATGTCCAGGCTCCCCTCCCACCAGCCTACCTCCTCACCGAAGAGTGGGAGAGAGGGGCCAGAAGGGCTCTGCCTATAGAGACCCCAGAGAGCTCTGAGAAAAGCCTGAACCAGCAGGGCTGAGGAAACTGTCCCATTCCTCTGACGAGGCCAGGAGGCCCACCAGGAAAATGCCCTAATGCCTCCGCTCATCCCCCACTCACTGATCCTCCTGTGTTCCAACCAGCCCTGCCCTTTCCATGATTCCTGGAGACCCTGAAAGATGGAGCCAGGCCGAGGCTGGGGTCAGAGATCCTCTGGTGCCCTCCAGATCTCTGGAAGGGCCAGGAAGATGGGACCTCAGTCCTGGCAAGCCCTACCTGCCGGGTGCTGCCCAGGGGGGCGCGGGCCCGGGGTCTGGGGGCTCCCAGCTGCAGCATGTTCCACAGAGACCTGTGAGCTACGTGCCACACATCAACCCCCGCTCCCCGGGCCTAGATGAAGCAGCTACTCATCCGGGCATTTTCTCTGGCCATGCCCTTCTGGTGGGCTCCAGCCCACAGACCCTCCCAGCCCACGGCAGACTTCTCTCTCGTCTAAGTCCTGGTCCCCTCAGCAGAGTGTCAGCTTCTGCCCACTGGCAGGGAGGAAAGCGGGGCGGGCCAGGCTGTGGGCAGGGAGGAGGCAGCCACCTGTTGCCATGGCCCTGAGCCCACCTATCAGCGCCGGCATCACAGCCTCACCAGGCCAAGGTGTCTGGTTGCGTGGAAGGAGCCTGTGGCATGGCTCAGTGGGGTGGGCAGCAGAGACAGGAGCTGGAGACCGGAGCCACCTGACCTGGCCACCTCCCCTGACCCGCCTTCCTCCCCATTCTCCTCTTCCACAGGTGGAGGAAGTAGCCCAAGAGGGGCTTGGGCCAGCAGCCTGGACATCCAGAGCCATCCAGGGCCCAGGCTGTGGGGCCAGAGCCCCTGGATCTCAGCAGGCCAGCAGCCCCACCCCTGCATGGAGGCCCCTCCCTGCATACCTGTCTGAGGGAGGGGAACCAGGCTCTGCTCAGAGCTGGGAAACCCCGGGGCTTGTTTCCGCTGTCTCTCTCCACTCGTCCTTACCCTGCTCCCCACAAGTGCCAGAGGCTGCTTAGGGTGGTCCCCAGCTAAGGCTGAAGACCGGCAGCTACACCCGGGGCCACCAAATCACCTGGGTGACCTCCATTCAGACAGGGACCTCCAGGGACGCCAAGTCCAGGCACGCTGTGACTACGCCTCAGCAAAAACCTGCTGAATAAATATTACCCTCCTTTACCTTCCCAGTCTAAATTCCTGTGCTTTGGGGGCCGTGGCCCTGAGAAGCCAGGCTATCCAGGATGGCCCACAGAGCTGGCATTGCTGTGCTGGTCCGGGGAAAGCTCCTGGGAAGGTACGAGCGGATAACCCAGCCCATCAGACTGAGCCAGGGCTGGGAGATCAGCCATAGGCTTCCAGGGGTGAGCAAGGACTCCCCAACTAGAATGAAAGGCTGGGACCCCCAAGGGCTGCCTGGAAAGCAGAGGGTGGGGTGGAGGTAGGGTGGCGGGGGAGGACATCACATCCCCTCCCTGAGTCCTGGCTGCCTAATGTGGCAAATGATGGGGGGAGGGGTTCTGCCCTCCCCCAAGCTTTGTGAGAGGGCTGAATGAGCTATACATGGAGAAGCTCAGTGACCCTCTGGAAGCTGGTACAAACATGCTGCACGCCATGTCGGGTGCTAGATGGCACACTGACCTTAGGGGCAGGAGGCTGCCAATGTGAGATTTTAAATCCGCTGACAGGGAAGGTCCTGCAGTAACCTGGGAACCCCTGTTCAGGGTCAAAAGGTCTGCTAGCTTAAACCTCTCATGCTGTACCTTCCCTCATGGCCTCCAGGGCCCAGCCACCCTTCCTCCACCTGAGGAAGCTCACCTGCCCTTTGTCCCTCCAGGAGTACCAACCAGCTCTCTCCTCCTTTTGGTCACGGCCACGGCCACGGCCACGGCCACAGGTCAGCACTGCCTCCCACCTGCCTAGACCACTGACACAGCCCCCTCTAAGCACATGCTTGGCAGGCGGACCCCCTCAAAAAGGCCTAGTGTCACAAGTCTGCTTCAAACCTCCAGGGATGGCTCCAGGGGGCTTCAAAACAAAGTCCAGCTGCCTGATGGCACAAAAGCCTCAGCTCAGCCTTCCAGCCTGGCCTCCCCCTTGCATAGGGAACCCCATTTTTATATCATCATCACATATGCTCTCTGATCCTCAACACATCAGGACTCCAGGCCCTCCACACCAGCCCATGTCCTCTGCTTAAATATCAGGCTTCTTCCTCCACCGGGGACCAGGCAAACCCCCAACTCATGCCTTAAGACCCAGCTTAATTGCCACCTCCGAGGCCCCTTTCCCAGTACACACCACACCCCAGCCAGCCGCCTTCCCACAGCCTCTGCTGCATCTGTGATGATCTTGAAGCCATTCACTTATCCCTCACAGGCTAGCGTAAAAGCAACTCACTGTTAGGGACAGGTGCTGTTCACCCTCTAGGACCAAGGGGCTAAGGGAGTGTTTGTTGAAAAACATTTTTTTTTTTTTTTTTTTTTTTTTTTTAAGCACCAGGCACTGTTTTAGGCCAGGAAATCAGCTGCGAAGGGGAGATGTGGCCCCTGCCCTGGTGGAACTCAGGAAACAGACAGACAATAAACAAGTGGACAGGTATATAATTTGATGCCAGGCAGTGGCTAGGGCAGGAGGCTCCAAGGGCAGGGCTACACCCAGCTAAGGCTAAAGGAGGTAGAGCAGATCTGGACTCCAGGTCCAGCTTCCTGAAGCTTTTAAGCATTTACCGATTCACGGCAGCTTTACCACTCGCTCCCTCCAGATATCTGAGCTCAGGGCTGGGGTCAGGAGAGGAAAAGGGTGTGAAGAAGACACAGGAGGGACACCAGGCTGGGGCAGGCTCAGGCATGAAGACAGCCACAATGAACCCAGCAAACACTGTCAGTGGTGATCATGAGCCTCCTCTCTGCTCCAAAACCTTTCCTGGCTCCCCAGTGCCCCCGACCAAAGCCCAAACTGCTCCTCCTGGCCTTCGAGGCCCTCCCTTCCGGGCCCTCTTTCTATCTTCTCACCTTTCCCCAAACACGACCAAGGTGTGTGTATCTACACTCTTCCCTCCCACTAGTCCACTTCCACCTGACCAAGTCCTCCAAGAAGAGGAGGGTGTCTTCCTTTGGAAGCCCCCACCCACCACAGGGTCCCTCCTCCAAATGCCCCCACAGGCGGCTTGGAGCTGCCTCACCCTTGTTCACCATGTGCTTCCTCAAGAGAGGCAACAGTGTACCTTTCTTATCTAGCCCCAGAGAGAAAGCTGGGGCAGATCTCGCTACAAATGCTGGCTCAGTCAGGGCCCAGCTATGTCACCCGGGGCATGTTACTTCCCCTCTCTACACCTCAGTGTTCTCATCTGTTGGATGGGAAGTTATCATCAACCTTAAAGGATCAACTCTGGTAATGTGAAAGCGCCCAGTTCAGGATCTGGCAGGCACCCAGTGGGCAATGCAAGTACCCTCCCCGGGGCCTGGGGGCCTGGGAGCCTGGGGGTGGGTGGCCAGGACACTGACTCAGCTCCTCCCCCCACATCCCTCTCCGCTCACTGACCAAAGGGAGGCTGCTGACGACAGGAAGAGCCAGCAGGGAGGTGGCAGGATGTGCGGAGGCCGAGGAAGTCCAAGCAGCGGCCAGGTCATCACACTCACAGGGGCAGGGACCCTTAGGGCCAACCCCCAGCAGCCCAGCCCACTTCTTGTCAGGGTCGCCACGGATTTGCGCATGCGCAAACACACCCTGCTCAACTCCATCACCCCACCCCCCTAGGCTGTCAGAGCCTCCCTAAGGCGCCAGCCAGAAACCAAACGCAGCCCCGCCCCCCCCCTCCCAGAACATGGTCAAGGGGCCAGACTGACCTGGAAAGAGGCTACTCCTTCCTTTACGCTCAGGATAACCTAGGGCAACTCACCACCACTCCCTCCCCATGCCTCAGTTTATCCAACTGTGAAATGGAAATAATGGTGAACTGGGCTGTGGAGCCCAATATGATCATTAAGGCACAAGTATTGATGTGACTTGGGCAGTGTTCATCCCCAAGGGACAAATCTCTGCCATCGTGTCCCCCACCTCACTCGTGGGCTTGCCCCACCCAAGGCCTCGGCGCCTCTGCGAAGCGGCAAGCCCGACAGAACACGGCATCGCTCCGCTTCAGAAATCCCAGGACGGGCTCCCGGACAGGGTGCGACGGGATGGCCCCTTCTCACCCACCCAACCTCGGGCCAGCGCCCACGCGGGTAGGCAGCCCTCCCAGGACTGGCTCTGCGCGACCCATTCGAGCCGGGGAGCGCCTCTCCAGCCCCGGGCGAGACCCCAGACCAGGCCCATCCCCGTTCCTCCCACTACCCGGAGCCCTGGGAGTCCCTACGGGTCCCGTAGTTTGGGAATCAGGTCAGGTCTTCACCAAGGGGGCTGGAGGAGAGGTGGGAAAGGGCCATCCGAAATCGTCCGTGACTGGTCCCGCAAAAGTTGCGGGGGGGGTAAGGGTCTCCCCAGGACAGGGAGTTCCCATCTCCCGGGGGTCGCTCTGGCTCCTGGCCCGGAAAGGTGAAGAGGAGGCTGGGGGAAGTTAAGGCAGGACGGCCGGCCTGTGCCGCTGGGGTCGCCCTGTCTTCCCGCCGAGACCTCCTCTCGCCGCGGGGAAGTGAAGGGGGTGCCCAGGAGGGGAGCGGCTCGGCTCTGGCTCGGGCCGTCGCTCTCCTCCCGGCCTGGGGCGCAGAGGGGCTGCCCCGCGGGGGGCACTCACCGTCATGGCGGCGCCCCGGGGCGGCGGGAGCAGGAGGCAGGGAGATGGAAAGGGCTCTCGGGCCGGGCTCAGCAGCGCGGGAATCCCGCCGCCGCCGCCGCCGCCCCTCTCGGCCGCCCGCCGCCGCTCCTCCGGCCCTTCCCTTCCCCGGCGCTGCCCCGGCCCCTTCCATCCGCCCATAAAACTTTTTTTTTTTTTTCAAACTTCCTGGGAGGACCCGGGAGGGCCAATGGGCGGCGGGGAAGCCGGGACAAACAGCGGCGGGGGCCGCGGGCGGACCAATGGGAGCGCGGGCCGGGCCGGGGGCGGAGCCTGCCGCGACGGGACGGGTGCGCGAGGGCGGTCGGGGCAGGCGGATGGGGGCGGAGGGAATCGAGGGCCGGGCTCCCGCCGCCCGCGCGCTGGGAGGAAGGAAGGACCCAGTGTGCAGGTGACTCGGTCGGGCCCCGGCTCGGGAGTGCAGGGCGGGGGCAGCCGGGTGTGGCACCCAGTCGCCCTGCTATGGCTCCCGCGAGCCGCCGGACGGAGCGATGAGTCCACTAAGGGCTCGGCGCGTCGGTTTGACGGAGACGTGGGCAGTGCACCCGGTACTAACAATTCAGCGGGTCCCACTCGCCGAGCCCCGCTCCTTACCTGTGTGAACCTAATTCCGGCCTCTCCACAGACCTGACGGGGAGGTGTCCCTGTCCCCATCTTACTAATGAGAAAACAGGCTCAGAGAGGTGAGTCGACTTGCCCAAGGTCACAGTAAGAAGGGACGGGATTCCGAGCATGTAATCTAAGCCCAAAGCGAGTTCTGGAGCGTTAGGGCATTCACCAAATGGCTCCACCTCACAAGCGGGTCTTTCTCGGCTTAAGAACCCCATTTTGGGATCTTGGGTGTGGGCGTACGCCCGTTTCTCACATTCCCAGCACTTGGCAGGTTTTAAGAGGCCTTTTGCCTGCAGAAGCTCATCTGAGCCTTGCAGCAGAGGAGGGACTTTGGTGGAGTGTGTTGAAAATGCAGCGGTAGCTTGTGTGGCATTGTGATTCAAACCCTGTGTTACCTTAAGCACCGTCCTCAACCTCTCTGGGCCTCAACTTCACCCTCTGTAAAAGGGGATAATGCTCTTATCTCCTGATGTTCCTGTAAGGAATAAGTGTTAATTTAAGCACCTAGAACCCCTTTATCCCTAGTTAGCTAGCGTTGGGGAGGGGGGTGCAGGGGAGCTTGGAATAATTGCCATTTCAATTTTCTGACAGCTCAGTTTTGGAGTTCAAAAATTATTGCTGTCATAACTATAATTACTCTCCCCATTTCACAGATAAAGAAACAGAGGCCCAGGGAGCTGAACTTCTTTCCCACATTTCCCACTGGGTGCCTCTGCTCTACCCTAAGGAATGAGTCCAAGAACCAGCCTGTCTTCCTTTAGACACTGGCCTTCCTGCTTTCACGTGCTGTTTTCCCACTCTACCCCTGTCCCTCACTCAGGCATTGGGCCCTTGGTAGAGTGAGTGAATAAACAGAAGACCTCACCAGCCACCAGTGCTCTGGCCCAGTGGCCCCTGGCAGCACCAACCTCCTTGCTGCTTTCCTGGCCTCTGGGACTCCTCTTGTAGTACCCTTAACCCAGCGATCAGATCACTCCCCTGCTCAAAGTTCAACACCTCCCCAGTGCTAGTAGATCAGCTCTGCATTCTTCTGCCAGGCAGTCAGCGTCCATCATAATCAGACCCCTGCCTTTTGTCTTCCATCATTATACACACACATTTTACATGCTCGGGATACAGAACATGGAGCCACTGGGAATTCTCAGAATAAGCCAGGTCCTTTGTACCTCGGATGGGATTGCACATTGCATTCCCTGCCGGGTCTGGAACACTTCTCATCCTGTCCTCTGTGCCCCAACACACACATACACTCTCCCTCTGTCTCTCCCTCCCCTCCCTCCCCTCTCTCCAGACCCTCCTTGTTTGCCTGGAAAATGCCTCCTCTCCCTCCAAGTCTCAGTCCAAAGGAAGCCAAAGTGCCACCAGCACAGATTTAGAATCTCCTGGTCCATTGCTCCCTGCATCCGTATATTTGGCCACTAAAGGGATGACCACAGTGTTCTTACCAGTTACATGTCAGTGCCCTCACCAAACTGAGCTTCCTGTGGGCAGAGACAGAGTGTTTTTGTCTATATCCTGGAGGCCAGCCCAGGGCCCCAGCCCACAGTAGGTCCTCAGTAAACACGGTTCCGATGAATGCATGCACAAACGAAGGAATGACTCCCTTACCACAAATTGTCCTGGTTCGGACAGAGATGGCACAGACCCAGGGACCCAGGGCTACCAAACTCCAGGGTTATCCACCTCAAACCATTACTCTACTGAGGATAAGACCATGAGGCTCAGAGAGGGTGATGATGGCCCAAAGCCATACACGTTAGTGACGGAGACAGAACTCAAGCTTCCTGGCTCTTGACCTTGGACCGATTTCACTCTCCAACCCAAGAGATGTTTGAAGCTGCTCTAAGTAACTGTCTGGGATGCCCCGCTGGCAGTCCCCTCCCGTAGCTCCTGATTTTTCTCCCTCCCAGATGAGAAGACATCTGCCAACTCAGAGCCTCCATGGCCACATCTGTATAATGGGGAAAATCTGTGGAGATTCTTGGGGCTGCAAGCAGGGCTTGGAGATCAGGATGCTCAGAGGCGGGAGGGCTCTGCAGTTGGCCCAAGCAGGGTTCAAATCTCAGCTCTGCCCCTGTGTGACCTAGAACAAGTGGTTTCTCTCCTCACCGAGCTTCATTTCCTGATCTGTAACATGGACAATATCCACCGTACTTAGTATGCCTCGTGGTGAGGATTAAATGCGATCAGGCATGTCATGCACCAAACACAGAGCTGAGCACAAAGGAGATGCCCGATACACTCTGGTTATCAGCAGCAGCAGCACCACTCCTGAATCCTTCTCCCCATTTTTCTGCCTTTCTGTCCGCCAGGGACTTACCTGCTCCCTCCTACCAGGCCTGCTCCATGTTAGTGACCTTTAGTTAGTGTGATAAGGTAAATCCCGCCCAGGGCTTGAAGGTACCACTCTGCCCAGATAACCATGTTTGTCCGATCACCCTAGTGCCTTAACCCCCAAAAGCAGCAGAGAGGAAATCATGCAGTGGCTGGGAAAGTTAGTGTTTGGATGCCGCCCACCCCCTACCATCACACCTCTGTGCATCCTGATCTCCCCGAGCTCTCTCTGCAACCCTGAGAGTCGCTATAGACTTTTCCCCATTATACAGATGTAGCCACTGAGGCTTCGGGTGATTAGCTGCAGCCATTCTCTCATCTAGGAATGAGGAAAATCAGCAAGAGGCTGGCTCCTCTAAACCCTAGCTGCGCCACTCGAGCAAGTCAGCTCACCTCCATGAGCCTCCATCCCCTCATTTGCAAAATGGGTGTACTGTCCCTAACGTGCCCAGCCTAGTGCCGGACCCAGAGCCAATGAGAGTACAAGAGTCAGCCTGTCATTAAGAGAAGAGAGCCCTTGAGCCAGCCAGTGGCCCCTGGAGAGGCCAGGCCCCTTGTCTCTGCTGTGAAGGGGGCAGGAGGGAGCGAGTCACAGCTGCCTCCCCTCCCTGCCCTTGAGGAAACCCCGAACCAGACGCTTGAGTGTTTACAGCCCTCTCAGGGCAGGGGGTAGGTTACGTAATGCCAGATGTTTGTGAAACTGGCTCAGGCCCAGGTCTGAGACACACTTTGCAATCCCAGAGCCCCCCACAGGCCATCCCGCTCTCCCCCCCAAAAAACTCGGTTCCGCTTGGCCCAGCTGCTGATTGGGAGCTTTCAGCCGTGTAGATTATTCAATCCCACCTCACCCCGAAAACTGAAAACAGCCCCAGTCCTGTCCTGGAGGTGGGAAATCCCACTCATTTGCAGACACCACGGGGCCCTTAGGACCGTGTTTCCATCCTTCCTTTCTCATGTGGGAGCCCCAAGTCCCCCCCTCAACCCCCACTCTCCCTCCTTTGACTAACGCCAACGTCCTTCCTCCCCTCCCCCTCTCTCCCACCCTCATCCCTCCCACCCCGCTGGAGCCAGCCTACCCTTTGCCACCTGAGGACCCCCAGAGACAGCAGGAACGGATTGAACAGCGTGGGACGGTCCCCGGGCATCCGCCATGAGGTCACCAGTCGGCCCTTGAGTGGGCTCCCGGCCTTGCCCTCCGCTGGCCTCTTGTCTGCCTGTCAAATAGGGTCCAGTGTTGGCCCCCAGGTCCCTTTGGTGGGATGGAGGGATCCCTGACTAGTCTCCCCTGCCTATTCTGCCATGCCCACCTCAAAGGCCCAGGGTTCCCATCTTTCTTGTCTCACAGAACTGCCAAGAAAAGAGCTTGTTGGGGCACCTGGGTGGCTCAGATGGCTAAACGTCTGCCTTCGGCTCAGGTCATGATCCCAGGGTCCTAGGATCAAGCCCCGCATCATCGGTCTCCTGGCTCAGCGGGGAGCCTGCTTCTCCCTCTCCCTCTGCCTCTCCCCCTGCTCATGCTCTCTCTCTCTCTCTATCTCTGTGTTTCGAATGAATAAATAAAAAAATCTAAAAAAAAAAAGGCTTGTTAACTCATTCACACTACAGGGTGTTTGATAGGGCTCTTGGGGCTCAACACCTCTGGAGACGTGCACTTCACCACCCTAAAGTCAAACCACAGGTGGCCAGTAGGAGGGGCGTGCAGACCCCCGTGTGTTCAGCCTGCATAAGGTTTTCAGATTATTTTGCGTTAGGTTCCAATGTTAAAGAATCAAGAGATTAACACATAACCGCAGATTTCCAGTTTCTCTTGAAATACCTAAAGATGTGGAAACTCTGGGTCCATCTCCCCCATGGCAACAACCCGTCTGGCACCAAGAGGTCACACAAGTGCTCCCATCTGCCTTCCCCTCCCCCCTTTATGAAAGGAATGAATCACAGAGACTTCTGCAGCCACCCCTGGCAGAGCCCCCAAATGTGACCCCTTTGCAGTCATCCTTGTTGGGGAGACAAGCCCCAGCAAAGCGGAGGCATTTGCCCAAAGCCCCCCAGCAGCTTACTGGCAGAGGTAGGACAGAGTCCAGGTGTCCCCACTCTTCAGAATCCAGAGATCATCTGGCAGTGGGACATAAAGCATCAAATCACAGGCCCAGGAAGGCTTCGGGGCAAGGACTGCTCCCCACCTTCCCACCACATTC